GTCCCCAGCCCTGGGGGGATTTAACAGCCGGGCAGGGGCGGTGCTGAGGGCCAGGGTTTGGGGGTGGGATGGCAGGGGGAGGGGAACGGTTGGGCTGGGGGGGCTTAGAGGGCTTTGCCAACCCAAACCATTGCCACCAAACCCCGGGAGCACAGGGCGAGCTCTGCAGGGCGGTGGTGCCTCGCTGCACCCTAATGCACCGCTGCTGATTTAACGAAGCATGCAGGAGCGCTGCTGCCAGACGTAGTCAGGGAGAGGGGCAGAGGTGCATGGCACGGCCGCCAGCGAACGGGAGGTGGTTTGTTCTGGGCAGTCACTGCCTTGATGGCCGGCTTGGGCATTTGCACCGAGATGAACGGGTGGGCTTGCATCGTCCGCTAAGGTGCCCAAGGCATCACCGTTAGAACTTCCTCTAAAGCCTGGCTGGAAAGGCAGCGTTAAGAAAATGTGAAATTATTCTCTGGGAATCGCGTTGCAAGATGCAACTGCGGTCATGAGTTTAGTGGCTTTTTTAATGCTTATACTTTTCAAACTCTCAAGCTCTGCTGATGCATGGCAGCAGTTGGGGAACAAAGCAGGAACGTCCCTGAAGGCCAGGAAGCTGCTTGAGACCCTTGGGACTGGGGCAGGGCACAGCGTCCCCGGAGGAAGGCGGTGACAGGGGGCTGGCAGCCTGGCTGTTCTGGAGGGGGGGCTGTCACCACTCCTCTGTCCCCCACCAGCCGCCGCCAGGGTCACTAGTGGCACACGGCAGAATTGAGCACCGCAGGCTGCAGTGGCGGCGGTGACGCCACTCCTGTGAACAGGTCGGTCCCTACCCGCTGCTGCGGGCGACCGGCAGCCTCGCACGGCTTTAATAATTCCGTTCCCCCTGCCGGAGAGGTGGGACTGACTGTGGTTGCAAAAGGCCAGCAAGGAGAAGCGCTCTGGAGTTCCTCAAGTGACACACTCGTGTCTTATTTGTTCCAGGCTGGTTTTGGGGCCACAGGCAGGTTGCGGGACCCTCCTCGGCTTTACCCTGAGAGGCTTTTCTGGCAGGTTGATAAATGCAGCCTGTGCCAGCTCCGGCTCTGCTCCAAGTGGCTCAGCCCACTGCTCAGAGTACAGTTACCACGTCAGAGAAACAGGCAGATGGTAAAACACCGATAGGACTTTTGGTGTAGGAAAAAGCAGAGGATGGCATGTACGTAAATAAAAAGACACCATGGTCTTTAGAAATTCTCATGTATGAACTCGACCTCCCCTGCCCTTCACAGAGAATGGGGTTGTTGTGGTCCAGGCTCATGCAGCCGCGTTTTTGTGTTAACAGCTCGTGACTGGGCATTGAAAATGGATGGAGTTGTTGATTATGGACTTACTGCCCATAGCCAGCCCCGGAGTCTTCATCCTGAAGAACCGTGAGAACTTCACGTGTTCATCTTCACCTTGAAGCTCCCAGGTAAATTTCCAGATCGCATGGAAAATCATTCACGTGAAGAAACACCCAGCCTTCTTCCCCGCCCCCAGCTACAAAAGTCAAAATCAGGGCTGGCTTTCCTGCAGCCGATTCCACCTCCCTGGCCCACAGACATACTCGGCCAGCAGCCAGCACAAGATGAAGACGGTTGCAGTGATGCCCTTGGTAGGCTCAGCCACCGCTCTCAGCTCCAGCAGCCGGGTCTCCTGCAGACCAGAGCTCCGCTGCTCCCCCCTGCTCGCCGAGGGCTCTGTCCCTCTCCGCACGTCCTCCCCCGTGCCCAGCTCCAACTTGCTGCAAAGAAGCAAAACATCAAAGCTCATTTACACCTCACACGCTTCCTCGGCCCATGCGGAGGCAGGGGCGTGCAAGCCTGCAAGCTGTCCCACCGCGCTGCTCACGCAAAGGGGAGCCCCCTTGTCTGAGCACTTCCCCACCAAGAGGAGCCCCCCTGTTGGAGCCCCCCCCCGCCGTAGGAAGCCGCGTGCCACGCTTGTTCCGAGCCCTTGCCGATGCCCCGGTGCACCCAGCCCAGCAGCCTTCCAGGGGCTCAGCAGTGGGGATGGGGCAAGACAAGCTGGCCCTCCCCGCTCCCCCGGGGCAGCCGTGCCCCAGCCAGCAGCCAGGAGTGGGGCAGAACTGGGGAACGTGAAGCCTCTCACTACCGCAGGACTTTTTTTTTTTTTCCCCTCCATCACTAAGCCCAAACCTCCTCCTCCTTTCTGAATATGACAGCCATGTGCACAGGCTACGGATGGCTTCAATACCTAATGACATACCTGCTTTTAAAATGGCCATTTTACTAGTAATTATGTCAAATACTAAACCCACACAGTAAAAAAACTGTACAAGGACATCTCTCCACTGGAAAGCCAGAAATATGGACCTGGAGAGGAAGAATAACTGCAAGCCTTCTGAAAAGAAAGCTTTGACCAAAGCTCAGTCTTCCACCCCAAACAAACGGCTGTGCTCGGGTGATGAGCTGCTGCCTTAGGGGGTTGGCTTCTGTCTGGCACTCCGAGGCTTCTGGGGCAGACCAGGGCTGGCTGATAACGCCACCCTTCCTGGTGACAATGCTTTCTGCACCAGAAATGTGGTCTTCTATATGAGACTGCTAAGGACAGCAATTGCTGCCTTACTTGCTCTCCACTAGCAGAGCTTCCCCTGCTGCGAAGTGGGGGCAAACCATGCCCAGGTAACCCCCGATGGCTGAATGCCATGTCACAACCCCAGAAACAAGGTGCCAGCTGTTATCGCTGCCACCTGCAGCAAACTTAATGCTGTTCCGCTGCAGGATTTCTAGCCCTCCATCCAGCCCTTCCCACAGTAAATCGCTTGCAGTTGCACGTTTTTGTCACAGCATGGTCAAAATTTCACCTTACGAGGTTTTGGGAAGACAATGACAGATTTGCAGCAGTGGCAGCAAAGATAAAACAGTCTTAACAGTGCCCTTGGCTGAAATGCCTCTCGCCTCCAAAACTAGTGAAAAAGGCCAACAAGCGATGAAAAACGCGGAGATGCTGATGTTCATAAACCTCCTCCGCCCCCAGGACGGTTCCAGGAGAACCAGCGGGATGAGAAGGGCAGAACGGGGAACTGCAAACTAGTGGCAGTTTTGTAGGTTGGGAGAGAAGGGACAAAGCAAGTGCTTCAAGAGAAGCAAAAGGAAGTGTCGTGGTTTAACCCGGCTGGCAACTCAGCACCACGCAGCCGCTCGCTCAGTCCCTGCTCCCTCACTGGGATGGGGCAGAGAATCGGGAAGGAAAAAAAAGGTTAGAGCTGAGGGCTGAGAGAAAGACAGTTTAGTAAGAGAAAATAATAATAATAGTAATAATGAGAATGATAATAGAATATACAGAATATACAAAACGAATGAGGCACAATGCAATTGCTCACCACCCGCCGACCGATGCCCAGCCCGTCCCGAGCCGCGATTGCTCCCCGAGCCGCGATCACTGTCCCCGCGACCGACCGACCCACTAACCCCCCCAGCGTGACGTTCTATGGTCTGGAATAGCCCTTTGGTCACTTGGGGGCAGCTGTCCTACCTGTGCTGTACTCCCAGCTCATTATGCCCCTGGCCGAGCAGGAGAAGCTCAAAAAGTCCTTGAGTGGTCTGAGCACTGCTTGGCAACAGCTGAAAACATCAGTGTGTTATCAACATCCTTCTGGTACTAAATCCAAACCACAGCACTGTACTAGCTACTAGGAAGAAAATTAACTCTATCCCAGCCAAAACCAGGACAGGAAGGTGGCCCCTAGGACGTCTGGCAGTGCTGTAAGAAGCAAATGCAGGTAACGCAGACAGTTGTGGAGCAATGCACACGGAGTTGTCCTTTATGGCGCCTTCCAAGGCCCATTGACGACCACAGCAATGGTGTGATGTGTGGGAACGGCTGCATTTCAGAGCAGGCTTGCCGCGTGCTTTCCCAGTGAAAGCATCTTCCTGGCTATCAGCAGAAAGCGGCCACAAGTGCAGCTGGAAGTGTTTCCTGGCTCTGAAGTTGTGCTGGCTCCCCAGATTGGCATCATGGCGCGGCCAGAGTGGCCTCCTGCTCACGTCTCACCCTTACAAGTGCCCTGCCACCGCACCGGGCTAAGGAGCAGGTTTCTGCAGGGACATGCTCTCACTGTATGGGACCCATCCATCTGCCTGTACCAGTAACTTGGCTGTGGCCACGCTCCTGCTGGAGTTACAAAATCCTTTAAAGTCTGCAAAAACAGAAGAATGAGACAAATTCCAACAACAGTGGACAAAGGAAAACCAATGGACGTCATCTATCTGGACTTCTGCAAAGCCTTTGACACGGTCCCCCACAACATCCTTCTCTCTAAATTGGAGAGCTATGGATTTGATGGGTGGACTGTTCAGTGGATAAGGAACTGGCTGGATGGTCGTGTCCAGAGGGTAGTGGTCAACGGCACAATGTCCGGATGGAGACCGGTGACAAGTGGTGTCCCTCAGGGGTCCGTACTAGGACCGGTGCTGTTCAACATCTTCATCAATGACTTGGACAGTGAGATAGAGTGCACCCTCAGCAAGTTTGCAGATGACACCAAGCTGAGTGGTGCGGTTGACACACCAGAAGGCCGGGATGTCATCCAGAGGGACCTGGACAGGCTGGAGAGGTGGGCCTGTGTGAACCTCATGAGGTTCAACAAGGCCAAGTGCAAGGCCCTGCACCTGGGTCGAGCTAACCCCCAGTATCAATACAGGCTGGGG